TTTAGTGCTTGGGGACTGTGAAATATGCTACAATGGGGCAATAAAACTTGCTAGGGGTATCCATGGTACCTAGATTGGAGGAAGGAAATAAAACGAATGGTAGAGTCCAAGGGGAAATGATGTCCAAAATTTTTGTGGAGAAGTACCCCCTGAGCAAGCTGAAAAAAAGCCTTTTTTGCAAAAAAAATTCAGTACAGAACCATGCCCTATTTCAAGAAATCGAAGGGGCACCAAAAAAAGGAGGATGGACAGCATTTGTGAGACAGGGGCATGATCTCAAGGGGTCAGTGGATTAAAAGACAGAAGGGAAGAAACCCAAAGGGGGGGGCTTTGATCCCTGAAGTCCTCGTGGGGGAAATATTCCCCTTCCCAAACATAACCCCAACCCCCTTTTCCCCTTTCTCCCTATCTTCCAGTGCCATACCAACTTCAGAAAAGGTAAGAAAAAATGTTATTTTATAATTTAAAATTTTTAATACATAATTGAACACTTATTTTTTTTGTGTGCCGTAAAACAAAATTTAAATCTCTAAAAAATGTTTTTTTTTGTAAATTTTTTGGGTTTCTGGAAAGTTTAAACCCTTTTTGACTGTTTCCGACGTAAAAAATACGTCTTACGAGCCAATGTTTCTGACTATTTATAACAAATTCTAGCGGCTTCAAAAAAGGCCAAAAAGGCCTGGTGGGGCCTACCGGGAGAGAATGGGCCCTCGTGGTGGGTGTGCACCCTGGAAAAAAATCGGGGCCCCAGGGGTTTAAATTGTGGCGCCATGTTGTCAGTCCTTTTTCCCCTGCCTCTCGTAAAAAATTTCCCACTCCTGGCGGATTGGAGGTCTTTATTCCCCAAAGTGAAAGCTCTACAGCAATAAAAAATGTCATGACAGTGAATCCGGGGTTTTTATTTTGGATACCGAAAAAAGGCCCAGGATAACGTAAATATGACGAAAAACCCAAGCCCCAAACCTTCGACCTTGGTGCTGGCTGGCTTTTTTCCGTTCCGTTCCCCCTGTACCGGACAAAAAGGGGAACTTTTTGGGGTGTGTCCCAACCCAGTGTGCAGTGATAGTGTTAAAGGGTCTTTGAAAGCAGTTTAGTGACAGGGTGAAATTCCCCAGGAAGCCCCAAAAGTACGCGAGCTGCGGCTGGTGTGTTTCTATGTTTTTCCAAGGGAAGGAGAAACTTTTGGAGCACACCCGGGCCCCTCCCCACGACCTAAAAGTGAAGAGACGATTTTTGTAACGAGGGGGTTATGAAGGGTGACAGGAGGGAGGAGGAGTGGGGGTTGTGGGGGTGGCACGGCCCATGGGGCACCATCCCCCGGGCCCACCTACCCCCACGCGGCGACTCGCAAACAACCAGCCTCACCCTCCCCCACACTCCCCCAACCGCACCACCACAACCTGCACAACCAAAACCACGGTACAATATCCAGCCCCACCGCAACCGTCGGGTTTGGGCAGGAGGGTGACGAGTTTTTTCCCAGCCCCCATGACTTTGATAAAACACAAAGTGGAAAAAACCATTTTGCCCATTTTGGGCAATGCCGTGAACTGGATGCTTTGAGTTTTTTTCGAAAACCCCCTGAGGGACATCATTGTAGGAAAACCAAACACATACTTTTTTAACCCATGGCAAAACAATTTCTCCCAAAACCCAGCTACACAAGTGGAAGGAGACAACTGGGCAGAATGTACCCGTTTTTTTGCCCAATAATGCTTATTTCCACATGTGTTTAAACACCTGTCCCACATACTGGACAAAAGTCGCCTGATTTTAAATTTGGTTTTAGTGACTTTTAGGTGTTAATATTCCTGATAGTTAGTATGTTCACTTTTTAGACAAAACGGCCTGACAGAAACGACAGGTTAGTAAGATAAGAAAGTGTTTATGTACCTAAACAAAAAGGGTGCTGTTTTTTATCCCCTTTAGGAAGCTTGTTATTGTGGGCCCCTTTTTTTTTCAAAGGAAAATCTCCCTTCAAGCAATAATACCAAGCAAAAAAATTTGGATAAAGCTATTTGTACGTGTGATTTAGAAGTGGTCTTGTTTTAGATATTTTTGGTACCTGGCAGTAACTTTTAGAGATCCATGAAATTTTTGGGTACTCTTTGGGGATGTGGTTCGAACAAAGGGGTAACCCCATCTTGGGAAGGGGCAATGTTTTTTCGTAACGGTACACAAGCCCTACCCGGGATTTCTTCGAGTGAACTTGACAGACGTGTGTGGCCAGGCTGGTAATGCAAAAATAGCCAAGGTCGACGCTGGCCTCGCAGAGGTGAGGGGCAAGCCTTTGCTGCCAATGCATCAGGATTTCGGGGCAGAAAACGTGAGTACATTGTTACTCGTTTCCCGAAACGAAATGGTACCCAGTGGCAGGGCAACAAGAGCCAAAAACCCATTTTTAAGCCTGCAGCGTCATGGATACAACCCAATATGGCTGTGGCAAAATTTACTGCAAATGGGTTTTTCAGACTGGGACCAAGAGTTATAATGGGATACAAAATTTTTTTCCACTTGTTGAATCTCTATGCTAAAAGCTTTAACAATACAAGTTGAAGGCCCCCAAAAAAACCCCCAAAAATGGTGAATTTACCTTCATAAACAGACAAAATTGCAAAGTACCAAGGAGCAACTCCGCAATAGACCGTGCCACAGACGTCATCTTATAGGCCCGGTGATCATACCCCATACAATGCCTCCACTTTCCAGAAAAAGCCAAAAGGGTGTTAGTATGTACATACCCAAAAAAAGCCCACAAAAACCCCAGGACACTCTTTTTTTGGAGGATGTGAAAGGGCCCCCCTGCATTACCCCGTTTCAAAGATCCACAGCGCAGCAGTTCAGGGGCGTGGGTTAGTGAATTTTCAATTATATATATTATGGAACTATGATAAACAAATTTTTTGATTGTTTTTTTTTGTGTAAACAAAATGTTTCCAAAAAAAGTGATAAAATTTGTTCTTTATTGTGTTGTAAATAATGAGTGTTTTTTAAACCAAAAGCCCCTTCATTGGGTTTCTCACAGACAAAGCCCCCGGGGAAAAGGGAAAAATATTGAAAAAGGAAAGGAAACCTTTAAATTAAAAGAAAATAAAAAAATTTAGGGGTGGGGGGCGTCGCGTGTTCCCGGGTTGCACGTAAATTTCTGAAAAATTTGCGGTCTATATCTTGGTTTTCTGTTGGAAAAAAATTTTTTTTGGGTTTAAAAACCACTGAAAATTTTTTCCTTTAAACATTTTCAAGAAAAAAAAATTTTTTTTTTTTTCAAATTTTTGGCGAATAAATGCCAGTTTCAGAGGGGGCCTGAAACCATTTTAAAAGGGGGTTTAATTGTTTTTCCCCTTTTTTTTTATGGGAAATATTGCTTGGGCTTTTCGTCTTTTCGAATTTAGAGCTAACCCCGGGGGAAGGTTAAAGTTGTATTTAAAGTTCCATGTTATTACAATTGTATGAATTGTTTATTGTAAAAAAAATTTAGGGATGAAAATTTAGTTGGTTGTGTTGAGTTAAAAAATAGGAATGCTTCTGTCTTCAGCGACAGGGATCAAGCCCCCAATGACTTGTTGCTCTTAATGCCCACATGCCCTTAACATGAAGAAACCATATGGACCATTGCACCGGGGGTACATTGTACAATTTGGTACCTTTGGGCCACCTAGGGGTACCATTGAAACCTTTTGGTCCCGGGTCCCATTGAAAATATGGTACATTTTCCTTTGGGCACCCTAGGGTCCCCATTGAACCATATGGTACTGTTTCTCAAACACGGGCCCCATTTTAAAAATTTTCATCATTATTTTGTTACAATAAACTTTAAAAAAGTTTTTAAGCAATATAATGTTTAAAAAAAATTATTTGCAATTATTTGTTAAATTACGGGTAAGTGTAAAAATTTTTACATTAAAATTGGTCTAAAGGGGCCAAAAGTTTTTGGGAAAAAAAAATATTAGAAAAGAAAACGAAAAAAGAAACAAAAGCTAAAAAAAAATAATGGATTTAACAAAAGTCGCTGATGTTCTGCCCCCAAAGTCATTGGGGGGGAATTTTTATGCCCCTTTATCTCTTTAAAACTATGATCAAATTTTTGTTTTGTTTTATTCCTACAAAAAAATTATTATCTTCAATTTGAAAGTTTTTTTTTTTTTTTAAAAAATTTTTTGGGGCCCTGGTGCCCCCCTTTAAAAGTTTGGGGCCCGGGGTCCTAAAAGGGGTTTTAAAGCAGTTAAAATGTGTTTGTTTCCCGGGCCTACACTTTGGGGTTTCACTGTTTCATGGGGTTTTTTTAAAAAAAAGTTTCATGTACACAAAAAGAGTACAAAGTTCGGGCCCTAATATTAAAGGGTTGGTTACTTAGCAGTCAGGTTTTTGGCCCTGCTCCAAAATGCAAAGGCTAATTTTTCTTGTTTTCCCCCAAGTTTTTGGTGGCACCTACAGGGGGAAAAATACTAAAATGAGTCTCAAAAAAATGGGTCTGGCAACCCGATATGTCCACTGTCCTTCGGGGGACCTTGTCTATCTTGCTGGCTGCCAGACTGAGTATTTTTTTGGCAGCATGGGCTACTGAGCTTGGAGCTCTTTTGAGCTGGTTTCCTGATTGCTGGTGATGTCAGAAGAGGGACTCTGTCATTAGTGAACCCCCATTTCTTCTCGCTTGTACAAAGATGCTGGTTACTGTTGTATGTCTGATCTCCTTACCTTATATAATAATGTATTAGTGTTTAAGGCTACATCATTAATTCTAATATTATTTACTAACAAAGCCTATCTGAATCATTCTTAAAGCCTAAATTTATCAAATAATATATTATTCTTAAAGTTAACTTGTGTATCTAGAGGTGTGTTAGTGGGCTTTAAGTGCTAGATCTGATTCTTACCATTCCAGTGACTATGATCCTAAAATATTTACTAATGAACCTGGCAGTGGGAATTTTGGGTACTATTAAATTTCCACACTTCACATGTTTTTATCAACTGTACATAATGATTTATTTTTTTTGTAGGGGTTAATGTAGCATTTTTTGCTGAGCCAGCACACACCATCATGGCTGAGGCAGCACACCCCAGGGGGGACTACTGAGCCACCACCCCCCAGGATGAATGAGCCACCACACCCCAGCAACCCTCATGTCCTCAGCACAGATGATGAATCACTGGAACCAGTAAGTTATGCCATGATATATTTTTGAAACTGTAGTAGTGTACCCTCCAGACCGTCAGGAGATCCTTGCTTGTACCTGCACATTCTTGCTGGCTTTAGGGTGCATTGGAGACATGTAATATGCATAGTTATTAGTCAACTTCCTTCCACTTTAGGTTGAGGTCTCTTTTCCGGGCACTGGAAGGCAGGGCTCAATAAAGCATATGTTGTCAGTGGCCTTATAAACCCCAACAACAACAACAACAACAACTGCTATAGTGTATAGTACCATATGCAAATTTTGAAGCAGCTGTAATGTATAGTACTGTACAATGCATCTTATTGAAGCTGCTGTAGTGTATAGTACTGAACAGTGCATATTATTGAAGCTGCTGTACTGTATAGTACTGTACAGTACATGTATATTATTGAAGCTGGTCTAGTATATGTATACAGTAGGGCCCCGCTTTATGGCATTTCATTTTATGGTGTTCTCCTAATATGGAGATTTCAATTTATGACCCAAACTTGCTATATTGCTCCCCCCACCTGACTTTCTAATACAGTCACTGCGTCCCACCTGGTTTGTTTGCATTCTCCATGAGCTTCATGAGCACTGTCTCTCTCCATTATGTCTGGAAACCTTCCAAAATTTCAAGTGTTTTAAAGTTATTTCATGTTTTATATATCTTTTCTTTCTTTCAACACACCGGCCACATCCCACCGAGGCGGGGTGGCCCAAAAGGAAAAACAAATAACTGATTGCCGGACTTGTGATGGCAGACCTGTACTAGTGAAATAGCTAAGAATTTGGTTGACTGGAATAATGTAATTTGCCTAAAATGGGAATCAAAGTTGGCAGAATCGCCCATGCATAAATATTACTGACGTGTCAAAATTTGCGAGGGCATAATTTCGTCATTTTCCATCAAATTTCATACTTTTTGTTTTATTACCTTCAGAAAAAGATTCTCTACCATCTCATAAGAAAAAATTAAATTATTTTCTGAAAATTCTTGGACCCTGGTGCACACTTCGAAATTTGGCCTCTGGACCCTAAAAGGGTTTAAGCCTCTCCACTAAGTGGCACCAGTCACTGGATGAAGCCAGGGTCAGCTGTGTAGTAGCATTGGACATTGCTTGTAGTTTCAACTGAGTATGGCACCAGGGACTGTTGGCAAAATTGCAAGCACTAGGAGTCATCAGTTCTGCACTATGCTTCCTCAGTGATTACCTTCAAGGTAGATCTCTAAGTATAATTCTGAATGGGACAGAGTCAACAAGACACTATTGGTGCAAGTGTTCCATAGGGAAGTGAGATTTGGCCATTGTTATGGAATATCTACTTTAATGACCTCCTTCATCTCGCCCCAAAATCCCAGACATATACAGATGATTGACATTTACTTATCTAAACGAGGAAGTGGCAATTGCTCTAAGTTATGTCATTTACCAGCTTACAGCTATATCAGCCTCAGAAAAGCAATGGCAGGTCACATTTCCTCCGAGAAAACACATATTTACCTGGACCTGGAGAGAGTTTCGGGGGTCAACGCCCCCGCGGCCCGGTCTGTGACCAGGCCTCCTGGTGGATCAGCGCCTGATCAACCAGGCTGTTGCTGCTGGCTGCACGCAAACCAACGTACGAGCCACAGCCCGGCTGATCAGGAACTGACTTTAGGTGCTTGTCCAGTGCCAGCTTGAAGACTGCCAGGGGTCTGTTGGTAATCCCCCTTATGTGTGCTGGGAGGCAGTTGAACAGTCTCGGGCCCCTGACACTTATTGTATGGTCTCTTAACGTGCTAGTGACACCCCTGCTTTTCATTGGGGGGATGGTGCATCGTCTGCCAAGTCTTTTGCTTTCGTAGTGAGTGATTTTCGTGTGCAAGTTCGGTACTAGTCCCTCTAGGATTTTCCAGGTGTATATAATCATGTATCTCTCCCTGCGTTCCAGGTCTCTATGCTCCATGATGGTAATGCTGGAACAATGGTAATAATGAAGTGCATTGGTATCCAGGGATGAGGTTGATATCCTTGGGTGAAATTTGACTCCGAACTGACCATGAAGAACCATGTTGTAAATCTTGCAAAATGGCCAGGAAGTTTACAGTACTTAGACATAACTCACATCTGCTCAAAAGTAGAGGTTGCAAGATTCTGTGTGAGGTAAAAGTACATTCATATCTTGAGTAATCTCCACTTTCTTGGAATGTCTGCCCTCCATCTCATCTGTGACTTCTTGACTGAATAGAGAACAGAGCAAGATAACTCCTCTCTTGCCTGGACCCAGCCTGGATAGATCTGTCATTTCAGCAGAGCCTTCAACACAGGAGGGATGTGCATGGCCTTACTGTTATGTACAAGGCCAGTAGTCAATGTACCACACTTGGCTCCACTCCAAGGGCAGCAAGAAGTGAGCTTCTGCACAACAAGACGGACAGCAAACAGCAACTACACTGTACCCTTCCTAGAATGACTCGAGTCTGGAACATGTTTGTACAGCGTAATGAGATCTCTGAAATAAAGTCAGTTGACCACATGAAATTGGTGGCCCACAGATGGCTCCAACTTCGTCCTGTTCCCTATTTGTTTAACTCCAAACAATGAAAAGTCTTTCAAATGAGCTATTGTAGGTAACAGCTCTTAGCTTGTAAATAAAGTTAGGAACCTTAAACCTAACCTAGTCAAACCCTGTGATAAAAAAAAGATGCATTCTTGCAGTAGTTTTATCTTTGTATGTGTGGCAGTGGTGTCATCAATACAGCAGACAGAATATATTTTATTGGACCTTTGTCTATGTGTAGTAGTTGATTGATTAAGTATACTATGTCCACTTAATTGAAACCTTCAATATAATTGAGTTTTTGGTAAATTGGACCCATCCCCAGTTAGTCTGTTTTATTGAACTTTTATGTATTGTCTTGTAAAAATTTGTGTAAAATACTATAGAGGTAAGTTAGGTATAAGCTTGCCTGAAATGTTCTGCCAAACTTAAAAGGCTTTCCATGTGAGAGATGTATTGTTCTCCAATGTTTAACAAACCAATTATCATGTGGAATTTGATGGATTGATACCAGCTGCAACTATTTGAATAATATAATGAGGTAATTTTTAATGTTTCAGGCAG